TTCCGCATTATCGCCACCCACATTACTATCACAATAGTCACTGTCAGGAGAGTCATCTATCGGTTCACATGACGCATCTCTATCGGCATCTACATTGACGTCACTGTCAAGGAAGTCGTCTATCGGTTCACATGGTGCATCACTGTCAGATTCTTCGTCACGTTGGTTGTATATACTTAACCCATCTACATGAACCACCTGTTTACGTCTAGAAGGTACCATCTTCAATCTCATACGTTATGTCACTGAGCTTTCGCACAACTTCAAATGGTCCTTTCCATCGTTTCGCGAATTTGTTGGGAATACTGGGCGTCAATGTTGGTGTAAAAAGCCACACTTTATCACCTGACTTCAGATCGTCTTTTCCATTCCTGTGATCATAATAGTTTTTCTGACGTTTAGTCTCCACCTGGATCTGGTCACGAACAAATTGGTGACAAAAGATGAGCCTGTCCCTTAAAGTTTTATTCCACACATGTTGCTCTTTTACTGTCTGTGGTGGACGACCAAACTGAAGATCGAGCGGAGTGTTGAACTCTCTTCCAAACATGGCGTAATTAGGTGTAACACCAGAGGTGTCGTGTTTTAAAAATGTAGTGTGGACACGTATTCGGTCATTAGATATGTTACTTTCACCTGTCCAATAAGACATCCTAGAACATTTATCCTGAAGATAAGTAAAAAGCCATAAAAAAATACCAAAAGTTGGAAGACCTGTATAAAACTTTGTAAGACCATCATTGTCAGCAATTTTTGAAACACTCCACTTTTCTTTTTCCAGTTCCATTCTTGCAGCTTTCAATTCTTCTTTTAACCTGTTGTTCTCCTCTATTATCACTCCAGTATCACACTGTGTACCTGAAATATATACAGGACACATTGAGGGTGCAAGCAACTTAAATCTTTACACCACATATCTGCTTAATCAGGCTTATCATCACAACTTAATTGAGTTTTTACCAAACATTAATAATTTTAAAAAACAGTGAAATAAAGTTTTAAAGTTGAATAAATATATTTACCAACTGTTTTCTTCAAACTTGGAAGTTCAACATCTGAATCCATGACATCTAAATCACACATCTCATCATTACCAGGATTTTCTTCTACCTCCATACAGTAGGATGAGTGGTGGAATAATGATACCTGTTGTTTTATCTCGTACTGTTGTCTAACTAATTTCTCCGCATGTAAAGTTTCCCAAAAATTTTATTAAAATTCATAGTAATATATGCGAAGCAGGTCAATATGCACAATATGGAAATATTCGGATTTAATTACAGATTGACTATCAGGTAAGATATCAGAAACATATCAAAATTGTAAATGGGCAGGTTGCTGTGGTGAGTGGAAATGATAGTTGCCATATAATGCATATTTGATATTTCCAAGGGTTGAAACCCCCCTAATAGTACTAGATCTACATTTAAATTATAAATAGACATCAATCAATAGGCTACATGTAGTAGGCTAGGGCCTACAAGCCATTAATCATAATTGTAAATGATGATGATTTTTAACAGATTCAGAGATTGTCTTGATTATTTTCACACTTTTTTTTCTTCAAAATACAAAAAGAAACTAACCAGTGACTTTTCACGAACTAGATGTCTAGATTCTCTCGCAACCTGCGACACGTTCTTATCCGTCTCTTTGTAAGCAAAAATGGTAGGAGAATAATTATTATTGTTCGGTAGCCAGACCTTTCTATTCACGGCTTTGATCCAAGCATTGCGCTGTCTTTTATTCTTCGGAAAACGGAAAAAACTTATGCCTCTGGACTTAGCTTCAACATTAAACCTGTTATGACACTTGTAAACACAGCAGGTTTTCACCGTTTTGACGTGCGTTTGTTTACATCCGTGTTGCTAGCCACTCATGGGTGTTTGTGCGCATGCGCGATCAGGGGGCGCTACGTTATCGTGAAAAGGCCTATAGGGGCATCCAAAATTCTTCAGATAGGTCATTGCTGTGGCCATCTTCCCTGGAATAGAAGAAACACACATTACATATACGTCGAGATAAGCAGGTTGTCGGCGTACTCTTCCATACCTAGAGGTTACAGGAGCAAAACCCTGGACATTTAACGATTCCGCATTATCGCCACCCACATTACTATCACAATAGTCACTGTCAGGAGAGTCATCTATCGGTTCACATGACGCATCTCTATCGGCATCTACATTGACGTCACTGTCAAGGAAGTCGTCTATCGGTTCACATGGTGCATCACTGTCAGATTCTTCGTCACGTTGGTTGTATATACTTAACCCATCTACATGAACCACCTGTTTACGTCTAGAAGGTACCATCTTCAATCTCATACGTTATGTCACTGAGCTTTCGCACAACTTCAAATGGTTCTTTCCATCGTTTCGCGAATTTGTTGGGAATACTGGGCGTCAATGTTGGTGTAAAAAGCCACACTTTATCACCTGATTTCAGATCGTCTTTTCCATTCCTGTGATCATAATAGTTTTTCTGACGTTTAGTCTCTACCTGGATCTGGTCACGAACAAATTGGTGACAAAAGATGAGCCTGTCCCTTAAAGTTTTATTCCACACATGTTGCTCTTTTACTGTCTG